GTAGTGGGGGCCAATTAGGGCGAGACCGCCCCAGACTGCCCTTAAGGTTTTTATCAGTTTAAACAAGAATAAGGCTCTGAGAGGCAAGGTGTTAATCCGGTCCAACTCGAAGTGAAGTCGTTACAGATTTTCTATTTCTATTTCTGCATTGCTGTTTGTACCTGGATCGAGACAAATGAACCGGATCTTTTCTATTTCTTTACGGATTTTTAAATTTATTGCTAAGAAAGACAGGGGGCTTTTTGAGGGAAATAAATACAAAAGAGAGTCCACTTACAAAAAGTCCATTTCTGGAGCTGGTCGAAGGCTGATCAGAACAGGGCAGCGCACAGCGTCCCCGCCTGAGCCGTGGGTGCGGCGATTCCCCATGCCCCGCAGCGAGCTAAACTCGAGGAAAAAATCATTTAGTGTAATTAAAAGCAGACAGTTATAATAAAGTAGGGGGAAGGTTGTTTCCACAAGGGGCTCGCTAAGGTAAACCGAGTGAGACAGCTCCTTTCCCAGAGACATTTTTTTTTCCGACTGTTATTTCCTTCTTGTGTTATCACGAGTGGATTGGCTTTCATCATTCATCTCATTCATCTCGCTGTCGCTTTCGGAGTATATATTTCTCGTTCTGACTGTAAGAATAACTCTGCTGGAGAGATTGAAGCTTTCAACACAAATGTCTTTCCCAACCAACTTCCGAGGGCCAGTTTCATCTGTCCCCCCGAAAATCTCACACTGTCTGCCATGCAGTGAAGAGCCGATTCAACATTTTAAAATATCTATCTATATCGATATCTATATCTTTTAAGGGTAAAATCTCCTGGGAGAAAAAAAAAACAGTGTGTAAATGAAACCATGATGAGACAGCGTGAAATTCAGCCGTGGGATCTGTCTGTTCTTGGCCAAACGCGTTACTCGCATGATTTGATTGTCCGGCGGATCAGCATTGAGTGCTTTTAATTACAATCACTCCCAGGAACTGGAGCCCTCCTGTCCAGATACATACAATCCGATCCCTGTCTGAGGAGACAACCAAGCAGGCTGCTGAGCTTAAATTAAACAAGACTTGTGTCTACAGGGTGAAAAGCAAGCCCTCGCCCCCCTACCCCGCCAGGCAGGCGGTGTGAAATCCCGCTGTATTACAGCCAGGGAGAAATGCGGATTCAGTGAGCTCAAGGAGAACCGAGGTGGCCCTAAAACCTTCGTCCCGGGCTAGAGTTGCTGTATTGGACCACAAATGAATGTAAGGCGGGCGTATATGAGATAATGACCAGTGTCGAAGTGAATGCAGTTATGAGCTGGAGGCCATTGCAGACCAGGTGGAGCATGCGAAACAGCAAGTATCCCCGTACCGAGGGGTACACCACAGACAGAAAGGAGCTCAATTTGGAGCTCAAAAGGATTTTTCTTCTGCGTAAGGAAAAAGACTAGCTGCAGCTCTCGGAATAATCACGGGCTGCGATCCGGTCCTATCAGCCAACATCTTTCTTTATTAAAAAAAAAAAAAAAAAAAGGGCTCGCGGTTCCCCTTTCCAGGCATGTGCAATTGATTTCCACTAAATAGGCACTTCGCAACCCGGGCTACACAGTGCACAGCGTTAGGTAGAAAAGTTCCCTGAAGGCAAGTCCTTGTTCTTGCCACTAACCTTCTCTGCCCCTCTCCCCTATCATAGCCCTCTGTACCAGCTACACTGTCGCTTCAGGCCCACATGTCCCTCTGTCCCTGATCTGTACGCAGATCTCCCGCTGTACATCAGAAGTACACTACAAATGCTTAAGGGTAAATTGCGGGATACGCTGTTTTATTTTCAAATCCCCATCAGAGGATCCGCGGTGTGGTGGGCACGCCTTGGTATAAATCATAGGTATGAAAGTGCATATCAATATGCCCCCTCCTTTTATAAAAGAGCAAATGTGAGGCGGGCTCTAATAGGGAAGAGAAAGGCAATAAGCAGACATGCTGGGGCAATAGTAGGTTAAAAAATTGGTGCGGGTCAACCGTGGGGACAGAATGAGCCAAGACGAAACTCAAGGGGGAGGAATTCAGCCCCTGGAGCCGAGAGCGAAGGCAGTCACCTGCAGCCCTGCCAAGCCTCGTGGCCTCAATGCCGAGGGCTTAGGAAGGTGACCCTAAATCCTTCTCCTTCTCTTCCCTCAGATCCAGCGGCCTCACCTGCCTGGCAGGGAAGGCAGGAGGTTACCTAGAGCACGACCCGATCTATCAAAGGGGTGGAAAACAATAAGCCTCTCTCTCCCCCCTTAGACTTTGTTGACATCTTTTGGATTGGAAGCAGGAAAGACCGACTCTGCCCAAGGTTTGCTTGCG